GCCTAGGTGATTTAATAGAAACTGGAGATTGAGAATCAGTACTTCGTCAGGGGAAGTGTTGATCACACTTCTGATTTAGTAGAAACAGCGGATTGATTGCAGGCCTTGTAGTGGAGATGAGAACTAAGAGAATCTGAAATGGAGAAATGAAATTCTTGTCCTGCTTTGCCTTGCCATTTCAGGTGAAAAACTTCACTGATATTCTTCCTGATTTTGGAGCCTGTATTCAAGCTCTGTTGGACAAATACATTTTTGTCTGCTTCAGCATTGCATGTTAGGGATGGTTTCTTTCTGGTTAACCAGGCTTTGGCTGAATATCTTAGCTTGTTTTAGAACTATCCATCTTAGCAGAATTTAATTTTAAGATCCATTAAAAAAAAAAAGAGCCCAGGTCATGGTTTGGATAGTCATACGAGAGAATGTCACGAACTGCAGGACGCAGTGCAAATTAGATTGTTCATTATAAGGACTTAATTTTAGCACTTTTATATTCCAGATGATTCATAGATTCTAGGACTGGAAGGGACCTCGAGAGGTCATCGAGTCCAGTTCCCCTGCCCGCATGGCAGGACCAAATACTGTCTAGACCATCCCTGATAGACATTTATCTAACCTACTCTTAAATATGTTCATGCCTATCCTAAGTTGTAGTTTGCTTAGCACATGATAACCTTACGTCCTAAAATTCCATAAAGGAAGGGGACAAGATTGCAGCTATCAAATAAAATGTTTCATTTGTGCTGTGCTCTAAATGAGCACTGCTTATTTTCTTTCAAGTATCATTGACTTGATTGCACTCAAGTTTAAGAAACTTTAATAGAATTTGTATTAATTGTTCTTTTTACATAACTTAATTTGGGAACAATTTCACTTTTTTTTTTTTTAAGGATGTGATTAGAACACACACACACGCAAACTACATCTCACATGTCCACAAAGGAAAGTTCTACTTTGTAAACTGTGACCAAGATTAGTGCATGGATTTTACATTCACCCAACTGGAGATTAAGCCATCCAAGGCATTACCGAATGTGGCACGTCTGCAGGCTTGATGTGGTAATACAAAATTATGCTTACATTTGCTATAGAAGGTGATAGAATCTAATAACCTAGTGCAACAGGCTATTCATAATGAATCTATTTGGGCAATCTCAATTTAGGGCCCAAATTATTTTTGTTTACTTTTGTAAATTCAATTCAGTGCATTTAATTATCATAAGAATTTGTTTTAATTCCTCTTTATTCATTGGTCTGATTCTGCAGATGAAATTACTAAAAGAATCTTCTGTATTATTATAATTCTCTATGTAATTAAATATCAATCAGTATTGTCAAAAATAAATATTAGCCAATGTGTGCAGTTTTAAAACAAAAGTAAATTGTGAGGTACAAAGGAAGGAAATACCTATGCAATAACCTGCTGCTTAAAACGTTATGGTTTAACACTAGTTTTCACAGTAATGTATTTGAAAGTAATTAAAATGATTCCTTCTGGAAATGAATGTACAATATATGTACGTTAGTACAAAATTCCTTGCATTTTTAGTTGTGTAGTCTGTGGGCCTGATTCTGATTTTGGTCACATTGGTATAATGCCACCGGATTCAATGGAGTTATTCCCAATATACCTCTGTGGTTCAAAGTTGCCTTGGGTGTGTCTGAAAACTGTGAATAATAAAGAATGTACCAGTCATGAGTTGTTTGAAGAGCTGTAGCTCTGTCAGACACATTTGAGGTGAGAGCACTACTAGCAATATTAACTTGCAGCTCTCTAAGGGGCAGAACCTCAGCAGCTGTAAATTTTTATAGTCCCATTGATGTCAGTGGAGATATGACAATTTATATTAGCTGAGGCTCTTTAAGACTCTCTCTTCAAATTTCTAGCAGGCAGTTTCTCCTCTGTCCAAACAGCCATTCCCCTTATAAAATGTTTTACAATGTGTGTTCAGCATACCAGTTAACTGTATCATCTTAATGTGTGTCTAAAATGGCAGTACGTTCCTGACTCACTGATGAATCAATTCTGTATGATTAAAAAAAAATCTAATTCACTTGAAATTTTAGAAACTATTTGAGGGTAGACAAGCTTTACAGTGTTTTACTCGCTCATACGTTTGTTCAGCAAGTGAGGTAATTTCATGAAGCAGCACTCCTGTACAGTAGCAATACTGTGGTACTGCTATTGAACGTGAACATAGACTTACCACCCCCAATGGAGCAACAGTCCTGACCACTGTATATGCCTATATGTGGTGCACGGAGAGCCAACCCCAGTGAATATGGAGCTTGAGTAAACATTATTAAGGTAAATCTTAGAACAGGGATAGTCAATAGGTGGACTGCGGGCCAAATCTCAACCAGCAAGCGCTTTTGAATGGACCCCGAAATCTTTTTATTTACTTATCATTGTTGTTATTTTGTTTATTATTTTCTCTAGAGTCTGAACCTTGACCAAGAAAATTTGGACCTTGACAAAAACATAATAGACTATCCCGTCTTAGAACATTGTTCTGTCTTTTACTTACATGTCTGTGCTATAGTGGAACGGCAAAGCATAGTGCCCTAATGGGCACCATAAATGGACTATTTCAAATGTCTGTCTCAGACTCTTGCTATATATGCTTGTAAGTATAATCTATGGTTGTAGTTCAGCCATAGTCTTCAAAACATAAATTGAATTGCAAAAGCAATTGAAGGGCACCTTGGTCTACAGCAGTATCTCGGGCATGGCTTGCCTAGGTTTGTTAAACAGTTGTTTCAATTGATAGAGGTTTATGGGCACTCTGTGCACCATTGACATGAGTTACCAAAAAAACAAACAAAAAAACCCCTAACAAAGCCACATATCGTACATATTAAATATTTCATTCATTGTTTACAAACTATAATAGTTGGAAAAGATACACAATCCAAAAATAGATATTTTACAGTAATTCACATTTTAAAAACACATTTACAGTAAAATTTCACATCTGTGCTTCTTACTCCATACTGCACTTCAGTGCTTCTTATCTTGCTGATTTTTCTTTGCTGGTGCTAGTCTAATGGAAATGAGGATCATACAGTACTTCTGAATAGATTCTGCCAGTGATGACTTAACAGTGCCCGACTAGAAAATGCCTGGGCTATTTATGCCACTTGTGAAGATGTAGAAAACTCTGCTTGTATTAGCACTGGCCAGGAAGCCTGATCATAATATTTTCATTATGTGAAATATTTGTAAAATTTAGATTGACTTTAAAAATGGTCAACCTTCAGCTGCATATTGTTTTTTGGTCCTAAAATGAGGGTTTTTTTAGAATCTAGGTTTAATGCCCTGGTCATGGCCATGATACACAATGATGATATTCTATTTCTGCCAAGTTGCTCTCACTTGCCAAGTGATGGGCAGCAGCAGTAACTGGCAGCACTCAAACTTTCTGATACCACTTTGATACCTATCTGTCTTTCTGACGGGCTTCTGCCTACTCAAAACCTACATAGCATTTAACCAAATAAAAACAAAAGCTACTTTGAATAGCTGCAACTACAGGAATCCATTCACAGAGATACACAATTTCTGGATGAAGCTGGGAAACGCAGTGAGAGGAATTTCTCGTGTGACCCTTGATCTTGCGTTCTGTAGCAGGGGTCAAGCCCAAGAAGCGCATCTCCAATGCCTGCTATAGTCAGCTGAAGCCATTCTGCATCCCCATTGACTTCCCAGGGTCCTGAGCACAGCACCAGCCTAAGTGTCATTGCAGCATTTAGCTTGCTGCTTACTTAATTGGCCAATCCTGACTAATAGGCCCCACTACCCAAGTCTTTATGAACAAAAAGAAACAATTGTTAAGAGTAAAATTATATTTTGAGTTTAAAAGAAATAGACTCGTATGAAGGAGAAAGTAATGATAACACACACTATTACATTCAGGTTCCACAGAGAAACACGCAGAAGAGCGACTCATTTGAAAACAAGAAAAGAACCTCATTTATACCCTCAAAGTGCCATCTGAGGTAGTACTAAGAGGGGATACCTGAGCCCTTGAGGTGGAAAGGGCAATATTTTTGTTAAAATATAGTACATCTATGAAGCTTTCAAAAATATCATTGAATTGTTCAGATACCACCTTCTACTCTAACAAATGTACTCATTGGTTGAAATTTGAGCAGTCAAGGGCATTTAGCTACACATTAACTTAAATGAAATGTGTGGCTCTATGCTGTAGACTGCTTTGAAGTTCTCAGCCATTCTCAGTAGAGATTGGGTGAATTCTTTATACAGTTTTCAACAAATATTCATTTGCATCTGTTCTAATGATGCTTGCTCCCTTTCAGGCTTGCTTTCCCCAAACACTGGAGTTTCACTTTCATGGAGGTTCGTAGAAAGAAAAGTTCAAACTCCCATGTGAGTGTTTGTGGAAAGTCAATTTTTAGTTCATAGATAAATAGTTGCACCAAAAGTGCTTGCAGTAAGAGTTATGCCAACCCAATCAAGGAACAGAATTAATACCATGTGATCAATCACAACTAACTAACATAACACAAATAAAAATAGTTATTCAGTACTTGCAGTGAACCGTTCATAGTATGTACAGTAAAACCTGCAAAATACATTTGCAGAAGTCAAATTAATAGCTAAGTGAGGAAATCAGATTAGTGCTTAAAACCCTGTTTTTCTTATGGATGACTGGCTTGATTGGACAGATTAATTCTGTGCATATATGTGTGTGTGTGGGGGGGGGAGGATGACTCTCAGCTGGCCAGATCTTCCACCACAAAGGGGTGTAGCAGACCTGAGAATAGGGCCCCTGGAACACATGCTGACCACAATGGTATTGTCTCTAGATGAACCAAAATACTGACTTTCTAGCCAAAGGAAGGAAAAAAAGACTGTGTTCTGCAAAATATTTAACAACCTTCTCTCTCTCTCTCTCTCTCTCACACCCCCCCCCCCACCAACTTCTTTTAAATGTCAGCAGGAAGCAGGAATTTCATACTGGGAGCTGATAGGCAATGACAAAAGATAGCCCTTCTTGGCACAGGAAGAGGTGCCACAGATAAAAACAATTCATCTTAACAAAACCTTGAGCTGCATCACAGGTGTTATTTTCATAAGAGCTAAGCACAAGCTAATGCTGGTCACAAAGTATATAGTGGGGAAGAGCCACCCCATTCATGTGCTGTCATGTGTTGCTCTGGCCAGTCTCTCAGAAACAGTTGTCAACTCCAGACTGCCGTAGAGGAGAGAAGCAGGAGAAAAAATCCTTCTCTCAAATGTCTGTTGCAGTCAGACACTTCATGTTGCAGAGTGCATAATCAGTCTGAGGCATGGGACAGTTAGTTCATAGCTTGTTCTCCTGCCACCCATGGGCGTTCTTTCCAAACTTGTACACTAGCCTTCTGTCTATGCGTTCCAAAATTCCAGTTTTATAATAATACCTGCAGTAACAAAACAGAAGTGGTATTTACTTTAAAGGAATTGTTCTCAAGTAGTACACGATAGGAACATAACAGACAGTCAATCTGATGTTTTCCATCAAACAGCAATCCTTTCTTTCTGTTAAAAGGATATTTTCACACCCCCAGATCAACTTGCATTATAGAGTTTAAAGCTTTCCCAGACTTCTTGAAGGGTGAAATTTGCTCCTTTTAAAACAAACATTGCATGTGTGTTTTTGCTTCTAAGATGACCACAATTCAGAATGAATTGCTAGGATTATTGCCAAAGCAGAAAGACAGGTAGTGTCACATTACAAGCCATGGGCCAAATTCTCAGCTCATGTAAGTCAGAATATCTCCATTGCCTTCCATGGAGTTATGCTGATTTATACCAGGTGAAAATCTGGCCCTGTAATCTTATCTGTAACCAAAAGAGCCATGATTCTGTCTCATGACCTTTGGATAATACACTAAAAATCTATGCAATCAATATAATTGTGTGAAATAGACTCATATAACACACCATTAGTAATGTGGTGGCATTTTCACCTACTAACGTACCGGAGAGCTCTGCTCAGCTTTTCATATGTCATTCTGTCATTTCGCTTTCTTTGTCCCCACATCTTTGCCAGGGCTTCTGACTTAACAACCCGAAAGATGCCTTGTTCTCTATCCTCCCAATCGAGAATGCCACAGTTTTCTTCTGGAGACAGGAGGAGGTCTCTTACAAATTCCCACAAGTGAGAACTCTGCAGGCCTTCAGCAGGAAAGGGACAGAAGATTAACAGACTTTCAGAGATGCAGTACTATAACAATAAAAATAATCACTACAGCAGGTTTGTCAGCCTGTGCCCAAGATCTTTAACCTCTTGTATCTGGCATCCATTTTGCTTACAAAATCAAGTGCATTGCTTATCTGTAAGTGGAATCAAATTACCTGCTGCAGGCTGGCCTTGAAAAGGAACTAATTTTAGAATCTGCCTTTTACTCCTGTAAAATTTTGACTTTTTGTCCTTCAAAAAGTTGGGATGAAGTTGCATCCTTGACAGGTTTAGCCTCCAGGAATCAGTACGGATTGCCACAGAATAGTAATGGGACACCCTAATAAAGGACAGCTGGATTTGGGGATTATTTTTAAAGCCCATTTTTAGATTAATTTCAAAAGGTTTGACATGAATTTAGTGCTGGTAAAAGGTTCTGGATTAACAACCGCAATCAAATTCCTCTTTATCCAGGAATATTTACAGCATTGGCAGCAGGTGAGCAAACTTCCCCACACAGGTAGATGTCTCTGTGGTGCTACAATTTAAGCCTGAGGCTTGCTTGAGCCCCAAATGCTCTGGAAGGGACAAGAACTTCCTAAGAAAGTGTACAAACCTTGTTACCGGGTGTGCATGCATGTGTCATGCTTAAGGAGATTCTGAGTAAGCAATGTCCCAGGAATCAGGCAAATGGTGAAGCTACAAGTACAAACCCAATATTACCAACCTCAAGCATTCAAAAATCTTCAGCCAGGCCTTCCAAAATCATGAGTGGCTTCAAAAAATCATGAGTTTTTTTTTAAATAATTCATTTGGGTTTGTTTATTTGCCTTCTGGATTTTGAGCCTCTAGGTTACACTCAGTTTTCATTTTCCAGCTTTTCTCCACAACTCTGAAGGCTAGAAGCTTACTTTTTTAATAAAATGAAAGCTGAGATTCTTCTGATTCCAATAAAGCACCCATGTAATGAGACTCATGCTACAATTGTGAGAGTTGGCAACACTGCACCAACCACCACTTTATGTTTAGCTCATCTGGGGCATCACTAAGTGATTCACCCCTTTGTGACAAGCATTTGAAACCACGGTTTTATATGTCTCGTAATCTTTCAAGCACAATTTCTGCATTTCAAATATATACTTACTTGTTCTCCCGTGGCTGTGACATTCTTGACTCTTTGAGCCCCCTGTTCTCAGGCATGCCTTATCATTGTCTGGAACAGAATTACAAAATAACGTGACACGTGAAGGAGGAGGAATTAGAGTCTGGTGATAATGTGGTCAAAAGGGCAATGTGTTCACCTAGTCAAATGTCATGCAACATTGAGTCAATCTGGGGATGTGATCTGTTGTTAAATTTAAAAAAAAAAAACCAGCTTTATCATAAAGATAAACCAAAGTGAATAATTAACTTGAAGTTGAACAATTTGACAGAGACAAACACCACAAAGAAAAAAAAAGAATGAAACCATTTTACATGTCATCTACAGTATGTCTGGATTATTTGGTTTTAGGGAATTTAGGGCTGTCTTCATCAACTGCATATACATCTGTGATGTGGAACCTGGGACTTTTCTGGCTCAGAACTCAGACTACACTATGGTTGACGGTTCACATGGCCAAAGTGCTACAGCAATAGATGAATGTGAGATTTGGCAACAACACTGCAGAGACGCAAGCCATATCACCCAATTTGAGAAAGGGGGCCTGTCATGATATTCCCGTGACATAAACAGAGCTGGTCAGAAGAGGGCACTGAAGGAGGGATCTCAAAGGCTGATTAACACCACTAGTTCTGCAACTTCTACAAATCAGCAGATCTGTCCTGCCTTGCACACAGATAGCAAGTTCTTCAAGGTGAGTATTGGGGCTCTCTCTGTAGCAATGGTACTAAAACAAAGAAAACCTGGAAAGCCCCTTCACTGAATGGAGTAGCAGAGAGCTACAAAATAATCAGGTGGGAAACTTTATGATGCCTGGGGTCAGAACTTTGCATTATTGTGCAACCCACTCTTCAATGTGTATTAGATGTCCCTTTCGAAAGGCTGATCCCCAGGAGTTTCTGAGTTTGCTGCAGCCTCTTGCGAGAGTACTTAGTCCTTTAGTTGAAGAAGAGACTCATTCTTTTAGTGCTGAAATTCTGGGATTCAGACCCTGCTGCCAGCCCAAATGACATTTACTAGAATTACATACGAGACAATGCCACATCACCATCACCACATGATGGCAGGACAATGCACCAGTGTGCTTCCCTACCCACTTCCTGGAGTGACATTTTGGCAGCTCTGGTCATTTGTTCAGTGCATTCTGTGCTGCCTTGAAACATGTGATCCTGTGTCAGAGGGTTTTCCAAACTGCCTATAGCCAGGCAGAACACGAGTCAGCCCAGTCATACCCAGGGACTCTGCAAGAGCTGAATGTGGTTCTAGAACAACAGGCTATCACTGCGCTACTGCCTCACCAGTCTTTCCCTACCCCCCACAAGAGTCTTTAATTTAAAGCATTCAAGTGGAGACAATTTTTGGAGTATTTTCTCACTTGTAAAAATCCCTTGAACTGCTGCCTGTTGCTAGTCATAGAACACGCCGCACCTTTCCTAGTGAATAGAGCTTTGCATGTACAAAACAAGGTTACTTACAATCTTTGATAGTTGGCTTGGTTTCTTCGGTGTCAGTAAAAAAGGAAATGCCTATGGGGAGGAAAACATGCAATCCAGTGTTCAATTCTCTAGTCACACACTGTGCAGAATGACTTGACATTGAATCTTAAGGCACAGCTAGACCCTTTCCCCACTATATTAGAATGCAGGGATATAAACTCACACTAGAGACTATAGAAACATACACATTGCAAAAGGAAGATGAGTTTCCTGTCTAGGAAAAGGCTGCTGCTAAAGATCAGCTTTCCCGCCCACTTCTCTGACCTTGTCACTCCCATCTTCAGATTCCTTCACTTGCTTCCTCTTACTTCCTGTATCAAGTTCAAGCTCCTCATCCTTGTCTTCAAGGTCCTAAACAGGTATCACCTACCTCAGCATGCTTCTCTGCTCTCATTACCTCTTAATGGCCCTGCTGTGCTCTTTTGGCTTGTGCCATGCTTCCTGTCTACCTGATCCCTTTAGATCTTTCTCCAGCTCTCACTTTTGCCATTTTCTTTATTGTCCTATACACTTGGATTAGTCCCTCTTCCTTCATCAGATCTCTCCTTAAAAGCCCATTTCTTCACTTCTCCCTCGACTACTTCAAGCAAGAGATTCTCTCTTGTAGCAAACTCCATAGCACAGTGGCATGTCTGTACAACAGCAAGAGTGCTCACACCATTTAATAAATATATTACATACCAAAGACAATAGGTGCCGACTTCCCCTCTGTCCCCTGGGTGCTCGACGCCCCTCTCTGCCCCCAGCCCCACCCCCACTCCACCCCGTCCATGAGGCCTGCCCCGCCTCTTCCCAGCCCTGCCCTGCCCCCATTCCAACCCCTTCCCCAAATCCCCGCTCCGGCCCCAACTCTTCCCCGCCTCCTCCTCTGAGCATGCCACATTCCTGCTCCTCCCTCTCCCTCCCGGAGTGTGCTAATGCTGCCAAACAGCTATTTGGCGGCGGCCGGGCAGGAAGTGCTGGGAGGTAGGCGGAGGAGTGGGGATGCGGCGCGCTCAGGGGAGGTGGAAGACGTCGGGCGGGGGTGAGGGGAGCTTGGCTGCCAGTGGGTGCAGAGCACCCACTAATTTTTCCCCGTGGGTGCTCCTATGGAGCACCCATGGAATCAGCGCCTATGCCAAAGACCCCTACAGTGAAAGAAAATTCAGGTTGCAAAATCCAGCACTCAGTTTAGGAAATGCCAAAGTTAAGGTTGCCTGTATAACCTTAATTTGGCCTCTTTGTGCATATGCATTATGATAAGGTGTTTAATTACATAATCATATATGATTTTCTTCTACAGGACCCCAACCTGCACAGGATGGATGGTGCACATTGAATAAGCAGCTATTTAGTATTTCTCATCACGGACCTTATTTACTGCACACCATTCAACACCAGTGTTCCCTTTAATTTTTCCCACCCACATGCGGAATGAATTTTGTTATGTGCACCAATATGGACACATCACCTCCATATTGGTGCACATAACAAAATTCATGAGGTGGGGTGGGGCCGAGGGGTTTGGAGTGTGGAAGGGGGCTCAGGGCTGGGGCAGAGGGTTAGGGTGTGGGGGAGTGAGGGCTCTGGCTGGGGGTGCGGGTTCTAGGGTAGGGCCAGGGCTGAGGGGGCTTGGGGTGCATGCTTCCCTGGGGCTGTGACAGGGAGAGAGGACTAACCCCAGCTCTCTCTCCCCACAGGAGCACCTGGGCTGGGTGGGAGGGGCGCCTCTCCCATGGCCCCAGCCCAGCCTGGCCCGGACCTTCTGTGGCTGTGGGAGAGGTGCCCCTCCCCCGGCCCCAAACAGCTGTGGCCTGGATTGCGCCCAGCGCTCACTCCTCATTAGGTGACTCCCTGGCTACTGTCTAGGTGAGCCGGGGGAGCATGCTGAGCTGACGCGCGGGGCATGATGGCAAAGAGCTGCTTTCAAAGAGTGTTTGAATCATGTTGCTGCCACTGTGCCAAAGCCTTGGCAAGAGCGGAGCTTGGAAACGTGCATTTTGGCTGAACGAGGCGCTCCGCAGCAACTCCAGGCCAGACTGGGTTGGGACTGTGGGAGAGATGTCTCTCCCCCAGCCGTGGCAGGTCTGGGGCTGGGGGAGAGGAATCTCTCCCTGCTGCAGCCCTGAGCACCTGTGTGGTGCTTAATAGACTGCTGTGCAGCCGCACAGCTTACAGGGAGCTGAGTTCAACACCGGCACTTAATACAGAATTGTTAATTTCCTCACGGGCTTTTCTGTGGTGCTCAATGGGAGGTGTATTCCTAAATCCTTTAGGTGCTTTTGAAAGTCTCCTCCCAGGTGACTTGCCCAGCAGCACATAGGAATTCTGTGGCAGAGGCAGGGATAAAAGCCAGGACTCCAGAGCAGCAGTTGACTGCCTAAAAACACAAGACCATTTTTTCCCCTGCAGTCCCGTCTCATTCACCACCCACATTCTGACTTCTGCAACCAGTATGACAGGGTTCCTATGGACAGCAGCCTCATTTACTGCACAACCCTGATTCATCCCCAGAGCATCAACTCCTAGCATGTCCCTTCACCAACTCGTCCCCAATTGTTCTTCTCCCACTCAGCCTGTCCCTGTCCCCCTCATGTCTGTTGCCTCCAACCTATCCCTGTCCTTCTCTGCTCCTCGCCCATTCCTTGTCTGCCCTGTCCTCCATCTGCTCATCACCTATCACGTTGGAGTCAAGCTGTTTTCCCTTCTCCTCTGGGAAGTGAATGTGAGGAACATGGAAAGCACAGGAGAGAGAGTCTATCTGCTCTCAATTCCTGGGCCTGGAGCCACAGTGGCTCCCAGCAGTAAGGAGCAATTGCAGGGTAAGGCCTGCACTGTCAGCCACCCATGGCCCTCCAGGGGCTGTTCTAGCAGCCAGGTATTGCTAGAGTGAAGGGATGCTTAGGCCATGCCCCTTTTTGCCATGGACATACCTACTGCATCAGTTGCCAGCAGTCCTATGACAACTCTATCCCACTCAACAATTCTCCTAGACCAGGAGAATCCTGAAGTAGACAGGTAAGCCAGTTTTAGGAAAGCCTTGAATCACTGAGAGGCACAAAGCAGCTGGAATGCATTGCAGGATTGGGTCTAACTCTATAAATAATTACCCAACAATTTATAATCCATCTGGAGATGGGAAAAATAGCGTGGCACTGGAGTAGTCCTGCTAAGTCTCCCTGTCCTGGGCAATGAAAAGTCAGTCATCTAAGTTATCATCAGAACTGAACCCTACGGAACCATCCTATTAATCTCCTGGAATCTAAACTAAAGGCTAGCTGTAGAAGAAATTTCACTTTTCTTCAGTTAGGCCAGACAGGCAGTAGTTTAGAAGTTTATGAGCCTAAATTCACTTAAGCAGCAATAAATCTTTTAAGAAGCAAAAATGAGGTGGAAAATAAGTAAAGAAAATTGATTGTATTTGAGAATAACATCAAGGGTATTAATGAGGCTCTCATATTTGTATTACACATTATACCGATAGCATGTGCCAAACAAAACATCATGCCCACCGTCAGATAAACAGTGCAACCTCTGATGTTTTGAGAGGAACATAGTAGCAGTATATTGTGCTGGTCTATGTGAAATGAGTTTGGTGGTCTCAGTCCAGTTCTATCTGAGCTAAAACACCACACTTTGCATCCAGGACAGTCTCAGTGGAGAAGCCAAGGACTGAAGGGGCCATAGAGTCTGAACTATGGTCTTACTCCTACAGCTGAACCTGTCATGTCAGGCTTGAGTGACATGGAGTGGGCACAGTTGGGAAGCCAGTAACCTCGTTGCCCATGCTATCCTCTATCTGTTGCATTGCTAATCTGCTGATCATTGTAGGATCTAGACACCAGAGGTGCTTCACCTCTTCTGTGAATAAATAAGGGACTTTAGTCCCAGGGCTGTCAGTCCAGCACCTTCCACTAGCATGAAGTTCACACAAAAGTTTAAGGCTTTTTTGTTTTGCATTCAATCTCTGAAACACTAACCATGTATCTTGATGTTCTGTAAGATGAAATAAAGGTATTCGCCACAAACGCCGGCAGCATCTGTGAACTCCTCCTGGGTCATGCTGCATAGCTGCAAGCCATTAATATTAAAGTGGGAAAAGGAGATGCAGTTGGCGTCTAGCTTGTATTGGTCACAGCAAAACTGCAGCCACTCACAGACGTTGTGTTTACTCCAGTATTCCGGGTGAATAGATGTCCAGCAAGAATCGCCAACTGCAAGAGATTCAGCAGAAGAGAGAAATAAAGCTGAAATACTTACATTATGAAATTCTTTCCAGTAAGCATGTTCCAGACAAGAGAAGTTCCTTTACCTTATTCTAGTAAGGCCACAAGGTTCCTCAATTATTCCTTTTAATACTGTCTGCTTATGTTTTGGTGCCTAGTGCACCTAAGGTATTATTATTAATTATTATGTGGGACATTATTGTAGGAGGATCTCAAAAGCACATTCCTCTCAATTCATCACACCCCAAGTGTGATACACAAGGTGAAACACAGACCCAAAGTGAGAGGCACAAAAAATATCCATGCAGGATAATTAAAATACTGTGGGATCAAATGCTTTAGCATAAATAACTCTCTTTCTCTCCTCAATGTCATGGTTATTTCCTTGTGATGTAAATAAATTGTCAATAATAAAAGTGAAGGGACACCAAATTTCTCTGGTGCATTTTGCAATAAAAATGAGCAATGTTTCTCATAATGAGAGGCTGAGTCACTTGAGAGATGTCTCAAAGCACTCTACAAGCCTTAAACAATACCCCTGGCAGGTAGGTAAATATTGTAAGTTTATTACTAAGGGAAATGCTTGTTTTCACAGCTATACCCAGCAAGTTATCATCACACAATTCATCCTGAAGTACATAGTAAGTATTAGGGTTGTGTGAACTTTTTTTTAATTTGTTATATAAGAGACTGCCACTAGATGGTGCAATGTGCAGTTCCCGACAAAGTTCTTTTTAGGGAAGCATCTCTGACAGATAAAGGAAAGAGAAAGAAAGATGCTAGTAGAGTGAGTAGGCAAATTTTAGTCTAAAAAATATTTCAGTCAAAAGTGTCAACATTTTTTCAAAAAATGTGAAAAAGTTTCTCAATCAGTGGGAAAAGCTTGTTGCTATTATTTTATGATAAAACCTGAAAATTATTTTTCTGTGATTTGTCTGTAGAATAGTTTTTTAAAAAACTAGCTCTGGTGCTGAAAGTAGGAGCAGTGTAACACAGCCATATGCTGTAGTCATCAGACATTATTACTATATAGATCACTTATACAGGGGAGGTGGGATTTGAATACTGTTTCTTTAGATGTAAACACAGATCTCTACCACTTGAGCTAACAGAGAATATCTGTAGCTAACTGTAATAGGAGGCTTTGTACCTGCAAACCAGATACTAGAGGGAAACGTACATGGAAGAGGCCTTCATCTTGCAAGCAGTTCCCACTGGATGTCTGTGCAGGTGCAGCCTGTATGGAGCAACCGCTAGAATTATAGCCAAAGACACTATAATGCTCTTTAGCTCTGGATGAATTTTATTGAAGCCTGTGAAAAATGGAGACAAACTTCTGCCTCCCAGACTCATTATTTCTACTAACTTGCTAGACAAATTATTTTCGTTATACTTAGACAATTTTTTTCCGTTATACTGGAGTCCTTGAGGATGAGTAATGATTTGCCTCAGGAGAGATTCTGGGCCAATGACAGAAATATCAGCCTTTGAGATTGTTGCTCTATTCATTTTAAAACAGCTATGCCAATTTACACCATCTGAGGCTCTGTCCCTCTACTAATCATGACTGAGCAAACACATGATAGTAAATAGCCGGGGAATGAACTACCACAGGGATGAAAATGTTATACATATCTAGGCGAGTAGTTAGATTAGATAGATACTGTTTCCTTTCATTTAATCTGAAAGCAACTTTGGTCTCATTTTAGATTTCCTAATTCCTCTTTCCAATCACTCAGCCAGGATTTATTATTTCATGTTCAGATTACATTTTTAACCCCATACATTTAGTTTTGGGACACAGTTTGTATGAAAAATATATGCAATATACAATCAGATGGCAGTGCATGCAAACAATATGAACTGTAACTTTTTTTTGTCATCAGCCTAGCCAGGCAGTTTACTTCAGGGTGTAAATGCTGCTGTTGTTTTAGACTTAATTGCCCCAATGAAATTCATGGAATGGTTCAAAATTGTGACAATGTCTGAAACACTGATCTTGCATTCTAAATGAGTTTCTATAATATAAATAAGATCTTTTTCATGAAGTTTTAAAACTTACAGGACAAGTGTGTTCTTTCATGTATCATCCATGTACTGTAAATATCTCCATTTATTTGTGCGTATAGAATTAAAATAATGCTGAACGTATTTTTCAGTGTCATAGACCCCCTGGGGATCTATCATCCCATCCAAGGGAGGCAGTCTAGAAAGGAGGAGAGGTGGGCAAAAGATGCAAACTTTGGATCTGAGTTTCGGCCTCTCAAAACTTTGAGCATATTTGAATCTGAGATTTTGTTTGGTCCTTTATAAAGAAAGGTCAGTTGTGATATTCAGCTTGACACTGGATCAGATTCTATAGGCCCTGGAACTGTGTGTATAGCTGTGCCAGAGGATGATTGATTCATGATGGGAGAGAAGCAGTTGTACAGCCACCATCCCCCGTCAGGCCTTTTGCTGGAGAAGGGCAGCTTGAAAGTCAGCCGTACTTCACAGGAACGCTGGCTCTGGAGCAGGGGTCTCAAACTCAAATGACCACGAGGGCCACATGAGGACTAGTGCATTGGCCTGAGGGCCGCATCACTGACACCCCCCCTCGCTGGCCCCAGCCCTGCCCCCACACCACCCCGCCCCCACTCCACCCCTTCCATGAGGTCCCACCCCTGCACCATCTCTTCTCCCCCTCCCCTGAGCATGCTCCTCCCCCCTCCCTCCTGGAAAGTGCTAAGCATTATACAGAGCATACAGATCACTGCTGCTCCTACAACAAGTAATTTCCAAGCGGTTTTAATAAAATATATACACTCAGTAATGCACCTCACTCAAAGGACAAAACATGCACTTAGTTAGATTTACTTCTGTTAAAGCCCCCCCACTGCACTGGGCTGCACCACCACTCCACCACTGCTCTGCCTCTTCCAGGGGTGGCAGGTTTGTAGAAATTTTGGTGGTGCCCAGAACCTGCCCCCCCAAACTCCACCCCCACCCCCACCTGCCTAAGGCTCTGGGAGGGAGTTTGGGTGGGGGTGGGGGTCTGGGGTGCAGGCTCTGGGATGGAGTTTGGGTGCTGAGTGCAGGCTCTGGGCTGGGGCAGGGGGTGGGGGTGCAGACTCTGGGATGGAGTTTGGGTGCTGGGTGAAGGCTCCGGACTGGGGCAGGGGGTGGAGGTGCAGGCTCTGGGATGGAGTTTGGGGTTAGGAGGGGGTGCAGAGGTGAGGCCGGGGGACACTCGGGGGAGGTGCGTGGGGGCGGCAGGCGGGGCACGGGGAGAGACCCGGCCCCAAACATTGGGGAGCAGGGAGCTTAGCTGCCATATAAAATACCTCGGGGGGGGGGAGAGGGTTGAGGGGGGGCAGGTTCTGGGCACCACCAAAATTTCTACAAACCTGCCACCCCTGGAAGAGGCAGAGCAGTGGTGGAGTGGTGGTGCAGCCCAGTGCAGTGGGGGGGCTTTAACAGAAGTACATCTAACTAAGTGCATGTTTTGTCCTTTGAGTGAGGTGCATTACTGAGTGTATATATTTTATTAAAACCGCTTGGAAATGACTTTGGCTGTGACCGGAAGTAACTGGGGGGGGCACGGGGAGCTTGGTGGGCCGCAGGGAAGAGCTTGCGGGCTGCGTGTTTGAGACCCCTGCTCTGGAGGCTAGCCAGAAGAGGTATAGAAACAGTGTGGGGGACTGTGAGGGCTGGCTCCAGGCCCGTTGGCAGAATTGCAACAGGGTAGCTTACCTTACTCCCAAATCAGGTGGAGGCACCAAGGCATGAATCCAGCCCTATATTTTTGGTGTTGTCTTGTTTGCACCTTTGGGACTCTTGAGCTGTTTGGATTTTTTTGTGCTTATGTAGGAGATGGGGTGAGGGTCAAGGCCACAACTTCCTTCTGATGTGTTGAAGAGTTAAATGAAGTTTGCTCCTTTGGTGTATCTATTTTTAATTCCCTTAGGGTAACATGAGATAAAAGCAACTGTTCCTCTACAGTTAAAAAGTACAGTAAGTAACTTTGAAATACTTAAGCAACTGGTCCTGAAATTTTGATTTGACTTGACTGTGATAAATATCAGCTTTGCTGGCAATATAAAGGCCATAGCATGCTCCTTTCATGGAACAGTTCTCGTCAGGATTAGCTTCTCTATTGGCTTCTAAAAAGATCGGATTCTTTTTGGAAGTCAGAAAATATTCTAAGGCCCCAAAAAGTGCTGACATATGTCACGGGCACTCAGAAGGTGCTGACATGAAGGTCTGGCATTTTCAAAAGTGCTCTTCCTTTACTCCTTACACTGAAGTTTAGTTTCCTGAGTAGCTCTCTCTTCTATTGGGGTATGCACTGTACCAAAAGATTATGCAATTTGGAATACTCTTCTGGAAGAAAGATCAGCATAGGACAGAGCTTCTACAGGAAATGTACAAGTTTCCTTTGAGTGGGAGGGAAAGGACCAAATATGTTTTCCTTGCTGTGTAGTGAAATTCTAAGTGAAAACTATCCAGGTGAGATAAGGTGGGGAGCAAATAAATCACTCAGCAGCCAGCACAGGAACATTTCAGGTAAATCAATGTTTTGTTTCAGCTTTTGTGCCTAGAACTAGAGGGGTGCTGGAACAATTTTTATAGTGGAGGTGCTGAGAACCATTGAACCAAACTGTAAACCCTGTATATAATGGAAACCCCTTCAAGTCAAGGGGTGCTGCACCCCCCCTAGTTTCAGCACCTATGACTACAGGTCTCTAGGGGAGAGGGAAAGTTGAAAGCAGAGATAAGTGGGAGCAACAGAGTTCAAACCATGAATTGGACCTTTCCAAAGTTGTGGAGTGTTACTTGCCTCAAGGTTGGATTTAGGTTACATTAACTATGGCACTTTTTAGCCAGATTGAGTATTTTAATCCTGGTGTGCTCGTTACATTCCAACCCAGGCGGAATTAAATTCTGTGGACTTACCCCTTGCAATCTAGAAAAGTTATTTGAAATCAGAGTTTGGATTCATGTCCCACTTCTAAGGTTGCATGTACAATGGCAAAAAGCCTCATGATTTCCAAAGGAAGAAGCTCTATCCATGGTAACAAGGATCAAAGCTTTAGTGTAGATAGGACTCAAGCAGGCGCAGGGATTTTTACCAAGGACTTCTATAACCCGGCTTTGTACTCAAGGCAGTATGGGATACCTGTCCAGATTTTCCCAGAATGCACTGGTTCATGCACAGCTGTACTGACAAACCAACAAGATATACATGTTAGTGCAGGGAAAAATGTTGCTGTATTGACATGAACCATGCCAGCTGTATCCACATCAGATGAATGTAGCAAAGCCTGGTTGTATATAAGGTTTGTCTGTAGAGTAGATCAATTCTATAGCCCTTTTCCATAGACCAGTTCCACACTGTAAGAGAAAGTGAGCGAGAATCTTACAAGACATAATTCTGTTTAAATACAGGTGTTTTATTCCTAGCATTGTTCTAACTGTGATATAGACAGGAGTGAGACGAGAGCTACACTTTGCACTCAGTCATCTCAGAAATTCTGCCTGTCTCATTATAGGCAGCTCTGTCAAGTCTTCTCCACTATTTTATGTGAGGAGGAACTCACCTCACACTTGCGCATTCAAAGTCCTATAGTACTTTTTTCCAAAAAGTGTAGGTATCTTGACTCTTATCTTGGCCAGATAACAGCCTGGGGAAAACCTTATTCTGTTGGCCTAAATGCCTCTTGTGCTTCAAATCAATGAAGTATTTGTCTTCCTTTTCTATCCTATGTCTCCTTGTATAACATTGCTAGCACTGATATAATATAAATATGTGTGAAACTTATTCCTGGGCTACTGGGGGAGAAAAAAAAAGTGAAAACAATGTAGTGGGTTCTATAAGAATGTTTTAAATCAGCTCACGGGAAAAGTTATTGCAGCCCTAAAGGATGCTAGAAATGTGTAGGAGCATCCAACATTGAGCAATCCTGGGGGGAAAAAGTTGAAGGGGAGATGCAGCTGCAGACAGGGTCAAATGAAGGCCACGTACATACCCAGCCCAACCCATCTTAGTATGCGATCTCAGGTAGAATCACAGCACAGTGGTAATGATGTACGCTTATGAAACATTTCAATTACTTTAAAGTAGACAGTCTAATGTCCTTGCAGTATCTATGTGTAATACTGACCTTTAACTAGATGGAGTCAGAACTGCACAACTACATGTCAGAGGCCGTATACTGCTAACAGCTAATGAAGATGCTCAGAGCTGGTAGAAAATTTTCCAATGGAATGATTATCCATTGGGAAATGCGGATTCATTGAAATTGACACATTCCTAATTTTGTTTAGAAAAAAAACTGAAAGATATCTTGATAAGGTTGAAATTTATAAAATTATAAATATAATTATATAAAATTAAAAAAGTCAAAGCTGAAACAAAACATTGATTTACCTGAAATAATTCTCCCCCGCCTTGCCCCCCAAGATTTTGTTTCACAGGAAACTTAGAAATTCTTTGTTTTTGCTTTGATTCAGAATGGAAACAAATTTCAAAATCAGAGCATTTCCCACAAACAAGAACTCCTATTTCCTGCATAGCACTTGAGATTCTTCTTTAGCTGAAGCATTAGGGACCTGTGCCCTTTTGGAGCAGATTCTATTTCTAATCACATGGAAAATTTTGAATGGCCAAGGTTTGCACCACAGAAACAAGCATGAAGTCTATGATGATCATAAACTTGTTATGGTTTAAGCTCTGAAAAGTGCTGTTCTCCAATACTTAAACTGTCTCATGAGGGGACAAGGCCTGTTCTGTAAGTACACCAACTTTGTAATTTGAAGGCATAAAAATAGTTTTATGGGAGAAAAATATTTGCATGAAAACCTGAGTCAGATCCAAGTTTCACCACAAGCCTGGCTCAGTAACATCAGTGACATTATGCTGTATTTTTAGAGCCTATTGAATGATTTAGTCTGAGGGAGGAGAGGAAAAAAAAATTCCAGCTATTTAGGAATTGAATCAAACTCTTATGGAAGGAAAAGAATTTCTAATGGGAAATGCTAACTGAACCTCTATAGCAGGGATCTGGCCTGAAAGCATGGGGGATTGGGCGTGAATTCCTTAAAACTAACTATACTCCCCAGATGAGTCTTATGGCCAGGCGAAGTGTAGAATTTACATAAGCACAGTGGGGGGAAATTGTATACTAAACATTCAGGAGTAATCAGCAACTAGTCCAGTGGGGGCATTATTGAGTTAATATTGATGTATTTCTACAATCCACAGAGATCTGTGCTGGTTTTTAAAATCCCAAACCTTACACGTTAACTATGTATTTAACTGGTCATTGCTACTATGGGTAATAAATTTATACAAAGCTGCAGAAAATTCAAAGAGATGTCACTCCATCAAACTAAATTACTATTCCATAGTACGGATAACATTCATTGATAGGCAAAGGGACTTCAAAACAAGTGCTGTGTTTCAAGTGGACAGAGCAAAAGATACCCAGGCATACAAGGATCTATTCCTGACTCTGCTTTTGACTCCCTCTGTAACCTAGGGGCACTATCACTGAAATGTTGTGAGTCTCAGTTTGCCTTCTTGCAAAATGAAGATGATAATGCCTAACTGAGAAACTTGATTAATTGATAGCTGAAAAGCACTGGAATTCTTTTGGGGTCACTGGGGTGAGATTCAGGAGATCTAGGTTCAATTCCTGGGTCTGCCACAGACTTGCTGGGTGACCTTGAGTAAATCACTTGATTTCTCTGACTCACTTTTCCATGGGCAAAATGGGGAGAATGCTTCCCTATTCCACAGGGATATTGTGATGAGGAATCCACTAAATGTTTGTGAGGGCTCCATACATTATAGTGACGTAAGCAACACAAGTCTCTTGTAGATATATGATTCTTAGCTGAAAGGTACTATAGAAGTGCAGACTATTATTGTTGCTATTCATATGCCTATCTTGCACACAGTCAGCTTGTGTGCCTGAACAGAGCAGTAATGCTTGAATGAGAAATAAACGTAGCAATAGGCTCAGCAGTGAGCACAACATGCACAGGCCATTACCCATCAGAGCCAATTGTAACACTGTTAAATTCAGTCCAGTTGGGGGCACATATTAATTGAACACGTCTTTTCAAACTGAGCCTATGTACACACCTGTCTGATGATCAAAGGTGGGATAATAGTCCTCAGTTGTCCCAAACAATTCTGTCCAAGACATCAGGGGCTCGCAGATCATTGTGTTTGGCAGAAAGGTGCTGTGAGTGACTGAGTCCAACATCCCCCTAAAATATTAAGATAATAGTCAAAGCATGGCAATATCAAGGACCTAAGTTATAAGGGCACATCCATAACTGCTTTAATGTGGAATGGCATGTGTCTGTGAAAAGTACCCTTGGGTCTATGCAACATCCACTTAAAGTTCCATTGAAGTGAATGGTTGAGCTCTTGAAAATTTCAGGGGCAGCAGTGAAGGGGTTACTGAGCTCACCAAGAATATTATCGGTTTAAAAGGATCTGCAAGCAGATTTATGACTATACATGGATGCGGGTGGTATGTGTAAAAGTCAAGGGAAGAACAGACCTATAGTACAGTACACAGACATATGGTCAGGGTTAATATCATTAGTTATTGAGATCATTTTTTCATTTATCGAACAAGTCCCTTGACAAACAAATTGTCAAAACATAGTTCTGGACCCGAGGCGCTTACAGTGTAAATCAGATACAAGCGCAGACATCAGACAGTCCATGGTTTATGGACAATGTGCAGTATCTGAAAATCAATCACAAACTGGAGTTCAGTTTGTTTCTTGAGCATGGTCACAGCTGGAATTCAAGCAGAAACTTGTTTAATAATAATAGAAAACTTCACTGTGTGACACTTTCATCTCAAACTGGTCTACGGAATTGTTGAAAATAATACAATTCTATTGTGAAACAATAAAGGGAGAGAGAAATTAAGAGATCTAGGCAAGGGAGAAAAGCTACATTTTCAGATGAGATTTGAAATGAGACATAGTCCGTGAAGTAGAGGGGTTCAAGGGGACCATTCCAGAGGACAGATGGGCAAACACACACACACACACACAGTTTTCTTTAGGTAAGGCTTGTGAGACCCCCACCCCTGAGCTCCCATGTGAACTTTAATTGTAATTGATTCAGTTTTAGTGGTCCGGAAAAAAGCAACAAAATGGAATGAAAATCATTGTGGCTCAGTTCTGCTTTTCCATCTGCAAGAGACTGAGACTGTCACTGTTCCAATGTCTAGTAATAGCTCCATGGTTGTGCTGCAGTGAATATACAAGTGCAAAATAAATTGACACAGATTTGACACAATTGGCTCTTATCTCTTCAAACTTTAGTTTCTTCTGCCTTCCATAACTAACTCCAGATCTGGTCATTCCTAGCAGAAAGAAACCTGAGTAAGCTAACATGATCATATATAGTCTTAAAGGTTAACATTTAGTGTAATGCAAAAAATAAAAAAATAAAATAAAGAAAATGGCAAGCGGTGTGCAGTAGGCATAGGGACCCAGATCCATGCTGTGACAGTTGTATTGCAGTATTGGCCATCTGCTCCATTTGACATAGTTTATTAGTGAACCAGGGTAATCTTTGTGCAGAATGGGGGTGGGAGTCAAGGCATTGATGACTGTGGTTAGATGATTGTAATGCTCTAGCATCTCATCAGCATCTAGACCTGTAAAATAGGAGATTTGTTTACTTAGCATGCTCTGAAAACTCTTACTTCTTTCTCTAGTGGAATTGAGAGAGAGACATAATCTTTATGTGGATGAAATGGGAGCAGACCAGGAGAGTGGGAACATTTAGGATGTCCCCAAAATTCTCTTTCATACTGAAGATCAGGTCCAATGTGTGTACATGTTCCAGAAACAACGCGGACCCAATGTACTGTTCTAATGTGAATGGAACACATGAACATTCGAACGCTGTGGATCACTTGAGCTGCTATATTGCCACATTGTTTCTAGAGGACCTAGTGTGACGCTAGTGTTACATGTACAAATGTATTTCGCTAATGAACACCATAATTGAAAATAAAATATTAAACTACAGTACTAATGCAATCCAGACATTTCAGGATTTTATAGGAGAAGAGCTGGTAAACCACTGCTCAATAATAAATAAAAATAATGAGACCCATAGTATTTAATATTAGATTGTACTAGGAGTCAGTTATGTGCTTTCTCCACCAGTAGTAGGCTGCCATACACAGAAATAGGTGCCCTATACTACACTTGTTCAGACACAGGTTAGAAGGGCAGAGCAATGACATGTTTATTACTTCATGGATGATGCAGGATCTAACATTACACAAAATCCTTCCCTAATTCTTCTGCAATCAAAGCAATTAAACTCCTATATTTGCATCAGATCATGGAGGATTAATATTGCAGGGAGTTATGGCAGGTTAGACGCAATGTGCCAACCACACAGAAGCAGAGTTTAGTACCAAGATAGAGACTTCATAGAGGAATGAAGAGGAAAACAGGAAGCACAAAGTCACAAATGCCCTCAATTCTTCTTCCATCATAGAACACTGATACGACCATGTAAGCATATCCCACATTAACAGATAATCCCTGTTCAATGCCTCATAGAAGGGGAAACCCCCCCACTAACCCTGCTAATATGCACAATATGTCCTCCCCAGCACTATATTTTGTAGTCAGTTTAACCATGTGTATTACAGCAATAATCGTAAGAATTAAGCTTCTAAATGGAGCAGCCATTGGCAAACATACACCAGCATGAGCAAAATAAGCAAAAAATACACTAATAAGTGCATCCCATTTCAGGTAGAAGCAACTCTGATGTCTCCTATGTTAATGGAAGCACATTGATCCAACATACCATATAAGCTGTTGGAAAATGCAGATGTCTGGGACCACCTCATGCTTGATTCCTGTACAAGAGTGAATTATTGCTTCCAACATGGGAAAATGGGTTGGGTGAAATCTGGGCACTATTGAAGTCAAAAGGAATTTTTCCATTGACTTCAACAGAGACGGTATTACACCCTTTGTCTCTGTCAACAGGCAAGAGGTGGCAGGACAACAACAACAACAACAACAAAAACAAACAAACAAAAACCACCTGCAAATTTCAACGCCATTTCTAAAAGTACTTTTTACTAGAAATACATATAATCAGTGGGGGCGGAGGAAACACATCCTCTTTGTAGTGCACATAATTCTGCAGTTGATTTTTTAAAAACTATATATTTTTAATGCTACCATTTGGAAATTTGTCACTACTTACATAAGGGAATGAATTTGCCTTGAAGGGATCTAATCATCCCTTCACCTGGAGTAAGTTTTTGCTAGGCAAGTAAAATATTTTTATAGTTTTTATAGCCTCATTATCATTATGGTGGGTGAATAGATTTTATGCCGTGACTAAGATGTTCTTCATGAGGATTTTCCAAGGCTGAAAAGATACATTTAGGGTAACACCACCATGTTAGAAGTGAAGATGGGCCTGATCCAGAACCAAACCCATCAGATTATGGAGAAGTTCAGATCTGAACATACATCTGATCTGTAAGGCTTGGTTTGAACAGAGCTTATTTCTCCAAACTGCAAAATTCTAGATCTGAGGCAGCTTTAGCTCCAGTTTGATACTTGGCTTGCAGCTATAGTGACAAGGTTGCTACCACTAAAGGGCTTAGCAATATACCATAATAGATGACAAACCTAATTTACAAATGAGAAATTCCCATTTTAGAGAGGTACCTGATTTACACCGTCAGTCCCATATACAACTGTGTATTTTACAGCTAAATATATTTATTCTCAAGGTCACTAGGAGGACTAATTTATTTTCAGATATTCTAGGCGAATAGAATATTATTGATTTAGGTCATGTCAATTAATTTTGCAGCATTACCCCTGGTACTGTTTACAAACACATGCTATATCTGCTTCCGTGTACTCTTCAGGAAAAAAGAGAAGGGGCAGTCACTTGTTTAAACAGGAGATCTTTTCAATGTTAGTTTTGCTCCAGCTGATGCAGGGCTGCAAGAAGCACTTAATTTCCTTTTGGTTTAATGAGACAGGTCTGGATTGGTCATTTGTTAAAACGTATTTGTTGAGGTTCAATTGCTGGGTAGGAGACAGGCATGTCTCGATCAATAATTTATTAAATTGAAATTAAATGGGTTGGTCAGAACAAGTGGGTTGAAGCCCAAACACGAATGGCATCAGGGAGGTGACTGATAAATCAGCACAGCACACACGCTGCTTTGGCAGCTGGAAATCTGTTTTACAAATATTCACATCAATAAACAAACTGAGCTTACGTGCAGATGGGTGCTTATTCCTGTCGCAATGTTTAGGTCCAAAAGGAGGTCTCAGAAGCAAGGGGAAAGAGGCGGCTTTCCTGCAGCAACGTACAGCACTGTGGAAGTAAAGCCACCTGCAGTGCTGTGATATATGGAACTCCTTACAGACAGGTTCGTTTGGTTTTTCAGGTTCTTATACACACCCCCTTTGACGACAGTGATAATACAGAGTGTGACACAGCTGAGGGAGGGAGGAGAAACGTTCTTAAGTGCAGAACGTTTACCTTTATCCTGTATTGTTTATTCTCCTCTTAAAGTTGTTGACTTAAGTAACTGTGAGTCTTGGGCGACATTAAAAAGTCAGGTCTGCATACTTGCCTCAGTGTGGGGGACTTTCCTGCTCTGCCTTCTTTTGGAATCTTGGCATTTAAAAGGGCTATCACATTTCATTTATAAGCCTCAAAAAGTACAGAAGTTAAGTAGCATTATCCCCATTTTACAAATGAAGAAGTCGAGGAAAAGAGAGATGAAATGACTTGCCTGAAGTCATCTATCAATTCATCGACAGTGTTGTGAATAGAGCCCTGATCACCTGACTCCAAGCCATTCCCTATCCACTAAGCCAGTGTTTCCCAAACTTGGGACGCCGGTTGTGTAGGGAAAGCCCCTGGTGGGCCGGGCCGGTTTGTTTACCTGCCGCGTCTGCAGGTCTGGCCGATCGTGGCTCCCACTGGCCGCGGTTCACTGCTCCAGGCCAATGGGGGCTGCTGGAAGCGGCGCGGGCTGAGGGACGTACTGGTACAAATTTGGGAAAAACTGCACTAAGCTATGCTGCCTCCCAACAAAAATAGCTGCTGAGGTCCAAAATTAGTAGTGGATAATTGATTGTAAAGTGTTTTGGGATTCTTCAAAATGAAAGGCTTTGTTTTTAGTGAGAACAGAGACATTGACAGTGGAGGCTGAATTGGACAAAA